TAAACATCTTATTAATAAGTTAATCTTTGACAAATTACAGAGAGGCCCTTGAGTGAGCAGGAAAATACAAAAAACAGAATATTACAGAGTATGGGCCCAGAATAAGGCCCACAACAGAGAGAAACATAACATAACATAAAATGACAGTCTATGGGCCATTCGGCCCATCTTCTCTACAGTACTGCTCATGTACCACAAGATCTTTCCACTTCACGTGGAAGGGGAAAAGAAAAAAGTACTATAGGTTCCATCCACCTGGCAACAAACAAAACAAAGAAATGCTTCAGAGTATCTGAGAATTTCAGAAGAAATTAGCAAATGGAAACTTTTGTCACAAAGTTCCTTTTGATTGAAAACAAATCGAAATTTTATTGGTCATGGGGAAAGAGTGATACATAAAATTATAAATATTAAATGTGACCAGCACCACTTTCACAGATTTAGGCTAGCTCTCAGTTTCCTTTCCTCTATATCCTTCCTTTTTTACACAATCCAATTGACCCCTAGGTGAACCTTCCCCCCCAAAAAAAAGTTCTCTTTTTACTCCTTGTCCTACTAGAGCATCAGCTAGACTATTTACTGATCTCTGAATCCAAGTGACGAGTCATCCTTAATTGCTTTGTCAAGTATCTCACTTAGTGTCTATATTCCAAGACCCTAGAGCCAACCCACTACCTTCCTGAAGTCCCCTACCACCACAATGTTCAAGTAGTTGAGAATATCTTCCAATCTCATATCATGCAGTAATGCCTACCGTTTTTCCTTGTAGAATTCCTACATCCAATTGGTCAAAAAAGATATTCACAATGTGTTCTAGATTGTTCCTGAAATCTCATCCAATGACCAACTCTCTTTTTTTTGATAGATCATCCAATGACCAACTCTCCAAGAATTCTACAACCATCAAAGTTTAATTTAATAAAATTCGGCAGAAGGGATCCAGTTTAAGATTACTGTGTGTCTTGTTATTCAAGAACCTGGAATACCCTGCAATCCTCTAATAATATCATTCGTAGGGGGTGAAGATCTTCATTAATTGTGCCCATATGAGCCACCTTCATGAATATGTGTTTTATCACAACCCTTTTTTTTTTCTTTTTTTATTTGGAGGGAGGGGGGGGGGATTTCTTTGTATGTTCTTCCATTTATCTCTTCCTAGACTGTCCAAATGATTGCTCACCTAGTACATCCCTATAGGATCTTCCCCTCTCATTGGTCGGAAGAAAGAAAGAAGCCATGAAAAGATTGCCCATATTCACTGGAGGTGTTGACCTACATTCAGATAGAGAAGAGAGTAACTCCCAGCAAACAAAAAAGGATAAGAGATTATGAAATGGAAAATGGTTTCAAAACTTTCTTTGCATGGAAAGCATGTGTTGTTACAAATGCCAGTTGGGTCTTAGTTTTTACGAGACCCATCCAAAATGCTTTTACCAGTCCAGAACACCAAAGAGGGGAGAAAAAAGTGACCGCTTACACACTTTTCCCCAATTGTAAAGTGATCTTTGAATCTCCAGCTCTTATAGAAAGTCCTTCATAATCTTTTTTTAGTTTTAGACATAAGGGCCTTCAACACATTTGTAGGTTAGAAAGTGGAACTAATCAGGGCAATACTGCTACCAAGAGAGAGGTACTTCTTTCCATATGCCAAGAGCTTTTAGTGAAAACTAGGTCAAAACAGGGGTAAAAAAGAAAATAGACAACTAAATGATGAACAAAAAAATAAACAATCTAGTTCTATACTTTCTTCATTTTAGTTTCATTTTCTTAGGCTATGTTTGGTTTGAAGGAAAATGTAGGGAAAGGTAAGGAAACCTGTACAAGATTTGCAAAGGTTTCCCTACTTTTTCCTTCAAACCAAACAGCCTTAAGAAAATAGAAACCCATGAGGCTTAAGCCTCACAATCTAAAGAATAAAGATCACAGCACCTTCCCAAATGCTTCTGTTTTTAATCATTGATAAGAAGCTCAAAATGAGAAAATTCCAAGTCTTTAATTGAATAGATATGAACACATTGTGGAATAACCTACAAGATGCAACCATTTGACATAAAAGATTTGTTCCAATTACCATTAATCTATGTTTTGCATGACCACATGTTGAGCTGAAGAAGTAGATACAACAGAAACATGAAAGATGAGTGGCCAACATTTTAGGGGAACAGGTATTGAGTTAGATTGAAGAAATAAAATATAAACATGTGGTCCTCATTTCTACCACCATTGCACCATGAAATGTCTCAAGGAGAATAAAACAATAAATTAGAATATACTTCAACAGTTTTATCATAAATATGAAGAAATCCACTTGTAGAAGACTAAATGCAACAAAATAATACTTATCTACCTGGAAGGTCCAGCAACACTATTTGAACTAACATGACACCTGGTTTCATGGCCACTTCGCTCACACAGCCTAATGTACCTGCCACAGAGATGACAATATTCTGTCCGATTGCCACATACTTCCTGAAATTAAGGAATGCCAATTCAACCAGTGAATGCTATCAAGACTCAAGAATGATCTTACTTCAACCCAATTTACCAACAGGTTTCTACCTGATGCTTGAAGAGATCAACTGCAGGCAAAGGGAATTCACAATATTCACAAGTGACAATCCTTTGGGGGCAATTTTCATCTCTATGGAGAATTAATATTTCACGATCTACCGTCTCACTGCATAGTGAACAAGATACCTGCTTCCCACAAATTCAAGCATTCAACCACAAATATATGGCGTGATATTTTTTTATCAGTCAATATACGAGTAATACATACATATAAATATGCATGCATGTATCTATTTGTATGAATATGCATATCTTTCAACATGTAAACTTCAAAATCAAACCATATATCACTAATATGCATGACTCAAGAATTAAAAGATGGTAAGATTTCTCCAATGGCAAGTTTCCTTTTCCTGATCACCACTTTAGCAGTGACTTAAGTTTGAACAGCAAGTAAGAATAAACCTAGACAGCCTGGAAGAAGTTGGATTGTCTGGTAAGAGGTTGGAGAACAAGTACAATTCAGGAAGTTCTCAGCCTGGTAATCAATCTTGACACTTCAGCTAAGAACTTGATGACCTGTTTGAACAAGAATGACAGAGGTGGGAATTTCATTTACTCCAAGAGCTTCAACTTATTATAAGATAGCATCAATTTTTCAGAACACATTCAAATTCTCAAAGGCTAATGTGGTGATCTAACTGCTATTGGTAAACCAGTAAGCAATAGAAGAAAAGTTACCTAGATTTTGAATGATCTTTAACCCCATGCTTAAACTCCTTACTGCTTTGTAAAAGGAAATTATTCCCTCTCTAGTGTCATGAAACAAGGATCTCCATTCATAACTCTGAAGGACAAGTCAATCCAAATCAAAACATGACTTTCTATGGCCAGTACCCAGTATTCCAATGGTGAAAACAGGAGTAGGTGTATATTCCATAAAAACTAAAACGGTTACAAAGGCAGCAGAATCAGGAGACTTCTCCAAGGAACATGGAATCCCAGAGACTGGACAGCAACAAGATCAGGTTGAGCATGCAAAAGGACAAAATAAGAAAAATAAAATTATTGGTTAGTCGTTACCCCCATCCACATGTACCCCATATGATGTGGATACCTACTGGAATCCCACCAAAATTTGCATGATTTGTATTTGTCTTCAATCATCATTCCAGAAAGACCTTCTTCCCTTCCAAATCACCACCACCACTTCCTTAGCCTAACAGGTACAACATCCTTAAGTTCTGAAAATCCCACTACCCATCATCTCCAGTCTACATAATTATTGCCTTTTTAACTAAATAGAATTTCTTTTTAACCCTTCACGCCTGCTTTTAATTTCTTAAATATAGCCTTGTCCTTGGTTCAGAGAGAGAGAGAGAGAGAGATGCCATTTAAGATTGACTTTTTCAATTTCTGACATCAGTGTATGGATATCATAAATGATTTGTCAAGTTGTTTACTCAGGCAGAATTGATGTTGGAGATACAGGGTCAGAGCATCTATCTCTTCTAAGCATGTGAACCTAGAGGTAGAAGGAGACTCAGAAATAGTCATTAGCTGGCTGCGGATTGGTGCATAGGGCCTTTGACAACTTCATTATCATGTTCAAGAAACCAGATCTTTGGCTCTTTCCATTCCCTTCTTTTACTTGGGTGATTTCAAGAGTCAAAGGTTCTCAATTTTGCAAGTGAAGAAGCTAGAGGGTTAGCATGCCTGCATGCAAGAACAGTTTGTAGTGGACACAACATACATGGAAAATGCTTTCCTATTGAAGGCAGAGAGTAGAGACAATTACAAGGTCTAACAGTAGACCAAAACTGTAACAAATTTTCGTTTCTTGAAATAAAATAATAGATAACCTATACTTAATAAAAAAAGATAAGGATGAATTAAGAACTAGAAAGACTATTGATCTTAGCCCATGAACTATAGCGTTAAGTCTCTCAATAAATTAGCTCATTTTAAACTAAAAGATATTTTAAACTAATTAAAAAGATATTATATGTCACTGAATAAGAGAAAGAAGTTCCACTCTTGTTGAATATTCCTGAATCCTGACCTATGAACCTGGAGCACAGACAATAAAACTACCCAAGAAGTTACTGAAGAACCCACCAATCCTTGATGGCCCCAAACTGCCAAGAGAACAATTATAAAAATTGAATTTGATGGTCCCCACACTCTTGGGGAGGAGGGCATCCTGAAGAAGTAAGAATCAATGGGGTGAAGCAAGAGATCACCATTCTCACATGTAGTAAATCAACCAAAATACATATAAAAACCTGCACTTCCCGAAGCCCAATAGTAACTTTATATGGGCCATCTCTAAAACCTTGTCTTAGGAAAAATTAAAGGGCAGCCCAGTGCACAAAGGCTCCCGCGGCCAATGCAAGGTCTGGGAAGGGACATATGTATGCAGCTTTACCCCTGCACATACAGAGAGGCTGTTTCCAAGATTTGAACCCTGGTCACCCAGGTCGCAATGGAGCAACCCAGCCATTGTGCCAAGGCCGACCCTTGTCTTAGGAATAACTGAAGCCACAAAAAATTTGGGAATTCCTCTTATCCAAGATCAACCAAAGAAAAACATGCATCATACATCTCCATAGGATTTTCCTGATGGATAGAGGGACAACTTTACCAACCCCAAAGAAAGTGAACAGAAGAGCAAGTGCTTTACCTTCTCAGTTTTAAGGCAGAAGATGCAAGCTTTAAGATAGTCTTAAGTGCACTCTTCTCCTTAGAAAAAGGTCAGATGCGTTCACTTTCTTGTGAGAAAGGGTTGGATCCAGCCAACTTGTGGGGCAGCAGGGACTTCCCACAGGCCACAGCACTCTTATAAGTGTTGGATCCAGCCCACTTATTTAATTGCAAGGGCTTCAAAATTCAAATAAGGAAGCAGAGGAAAAACAGATATTACATTCAGGACTCCAATGTCTTAACATCATAGGTCTCCAAGACAAACCTCACAGAAAAGAAACATCAACATTTTCAGCATCTCTTAAAACCTACCTAAACATAACTCCAATAACACCCAATTTCATCACAAGGCTGGAATCTTAGTATTCCTTATTCATGAGAAAAATCAGTGGCAGTCAAAGAAGGAAAAATTTAACCATTCTACAAAGCCTCATTATTCAAATATAATAGATCTACTCTTTCCTAGTTGTTACGAGATTATAGGTTGTAATTATAGGCTGTAAATATGTAGTATTAGCYCAATTAGGAATAGCTTGATTATAGGAATTATTCTTTCTTTGATTTTCTTCCTATTTTAGTATCTACAAGGCTGTATGATTTTCTTCCATTTTAGTATCTGCAAGGCTGTATGATTTTCTTCATTTTTTAGTATCTACAACGCTGTATATATATGTACTATTTTCTCAATTGAAAGATATCAATTTCTTCCAATTCTTGTTCTATCACATGGTATCAGAGCTGGAGACACCAATTCCAGTCTGAAATTAATTTCTGGTTTTCTTCCCTTTGCTGCCCAAGTGAGCAGCTTTGAATTCCGTACGTTGCCCAAGTGAGCAACAGCTGCGATCTCTAGGTCACCCATTCCGAGTGACATCTGCATCTCACCGCCTCTACCAGTGGAAGCGGAATCCCCAGATCGGCCTACCCACTTTCACCGGTCTCTTTTCTGACGATCACCTCAACCTCGGTGTTACTCCTGTGGTGTTTGTTTGCCCATCAAGAAAGTCTTTCTTCTCTGTTCTTCTTATACAGTTGATATTTCAGTGCTGCCAGTTGTGATTTCTTGCTGTTTGGGTGTTGCATCTGCTGTCGATTCTGTTTAAGTGTGTTTTATTGGCTTTACTGGTTGTTAAAAGTTTATTTTCTTGTGTTTATGATGGCGGTTGAACAAAAGAACTTGGCTATGCCTAGTGTTATCCCCATTCTGTCTAAAATCACTGAACAAAAACTAAACGGAACTAATTATTTAGACTGGAGTAAGACTGTTCGTTTGTATTTACGGAGTATCTCTAAGGACAACCATCTGACTAAGGACCCTCCTACTGATGAGACTTGCACTGAATGGCTAAGGGTTGACGCTCAATTGTTTTTGCAAATYCGHAATTCTATTGAGAATGAGTACGTCGGTCATGTCTCTCACTGTGAGTTTGTAAAAGAACTAATGGAATATTTGGCTTTTCTGTTCTCTGGTAAAGAAAATATTTCCCGTATTTTTTATGTTTGCAAGACATTCTATCGGGCTGAATAACAGGATTAGTCTCTTCCGACCTATTTCATGAATTTCAAACGCACTTATGAGGAATTGAACGCCTTGTTACCTTTTAGTACTGATATCAAAGTTCAATAGACTCAACGTAACAGATGGCTATTATGAGTTTTCTGGCTGGCCTTAATCCTCAATTTGATGGTGCTAAGTCACAGATTTTGTCTAATCCTGAGATTACCTCTTTAAAAGAAGTGTTTACTAGGGTCCTTCGTACAGATACTAGTTCCCATACCTCACCTGTACAACAACCTAGTGCACTTGTCAGTCAGAATAGTGGATCAATTGGCCGGTTTCGTCCTCAGAATAGTAACAGAGGTGGCAGTAATAGTAGTCGGAATGCTGGAACTCAGGCCACAGGGGGAGTAGTTTGCTACTATTGTCATGAACCAGGTCACACTAAAAGGACTTCCCAGAAATTGCTAAAGAAAAACCAGAAGTCTTCTGGGTCTCAGTCAACTCATGTTGTAACTACGAATGATGCTCCTCATCCATCGTTAGATCAGACCATTACAATTTCTGCAGATGAGTATGCGAAATTTACCCAATATCAAGAGGCATTAAAGAACTCCTCTCAGTCCATCACTGCCCTTGCTGAGTCAGGTAAAACTAATACATGTCTTCTTTCTTCTTCCTCTCAGTGGGTCATTGATTCTGGTGTAACAGATCATAAGACAGGTAATCCTAGTCTCTTTTCCACTTTCCAATCACACACTTTTCCTTCTTCAGTCAYCTTAGCAGATGGTTCTATTTCTTCTGTCCTTGGTTCTGGCACTATCAATCCCACACCAACACTTTCTTTGTCATCCGTATTAAGTTTACCAAAATTTTCTTTTAATTTGGTATCTGTTAGCAAACTCACTCGTACTCTTAACTGTTGTATCTCATTCTTTCYTGATCATTGTCTGTTTCAGGATCTTATGACGAAGAGAATTATTGGTAAAGGATGAGAATCAGGAGGTCTGTACATTTTGGATACCCAGGAACCCCGGACCATTGCCTGTTCTAGTACTTTATCTCCTTTTGAAGCTCATTGTCGGTTGGGGCATCCATTTTTACCTTTGTTAAAGAAGTTATGTCCTCAGTTTTATGATGTATCTTCTTTAGATTGTGAGTCTTGTCAGTTTGCAAAACATCATCGTCTATCGCTTGTTTCTCGAGTTAATAAAAGGGCTAATCATGCTTTTGAGTTAGTACATTCAGATGTTTGGGGACCTTATCCCATTATGTCTAAGACTGGATTTCAATATTTTGTTACCTTTGTGGATGATTTTTCTCGTATGACTTGGTTTTATTTAATGAAATCTCGTTCTGAGTTGCTTTCACATTTTAAAACATTTTGTGTTGAAATAAAAACCCAGTTTGATGTGTYTGTACAAACATTGCGAAGTGATAATGCCAAATAATATTTCTCTGATTCCTTTCAGACTTACATGGCTCAGAATGGAATTATCCATCAATCATCTTGTGTTGATACTCCATCTCAAAATGGAGTGGCTGAGAGAAAAAAATAGACATCTTCTTGAAACTGCCAGGGCTCTTTTATTTCAAACACATGTTCCTAAACAGTTTTGGGCTGATGATGTTTCTACAGCGTGTTTTTTGATTAATCGCATGCCCTCCACTGTTCTAAATGATCAAATTCCATATAAGATTCTGTTTCCTAATAAATCTTTGTTTCCTGTTGAACCTCGTATCTTTGGATGTTCTTGTTTTGTTCGTGATGTTCATCCACAGGTTTCCAAATTGGACCCCAAGTCATTAAAATGTGTCTTCCTAGGATACTCTCGTCTCCAAAAAGGGTATAGGTGTTTTTCTCCTCTCTTGAACAGGTA